TTTTTTTTGGCAGACCTGGGGATTGCCAGGCAAGCACTTATTCCACTGAGCTATCTCCCCGGCCCCACATCAAGACTATTGGCAAGTAAAAACATTAGAAGGACTAGGATGCGGCTCAGTAGCAGAGTCCCTTGCCTAGCATGTGAAACTTGGGGCTCAGGTCCCAATACCACAGGAGGCAAGAAGAGGTACAATATGTACAAACACTTAGAGCCCCAGCAATGAGTTCAGCTTCACCCATACTTACACTGCTCTGAGCACAGAGGAACGGAGAGATGACTGCACTAGAGTCTGATGTCACCTCTCACGCTGAGGGGATTTGAGTTGGGAAGTGCCCTGCCCATGACAGTATGGTCACGAACATTATGCTGGCCAACGTGTGCTCCATGTTCTGCAGCCACATGCTGGGTCCACGAGGAACCACACGTGGGGCTTAACTTGCCTGGCGCTGCACTCAGACAGGCACTGTGGCACTCACAACCACACGGGCTGACGCACATCACAAACCGCATTTATGCAGCACAGCCCATGTGTAGACCTACGTGGGAAGGAATACAGGGCTAGGCCATGCACCCAGCTGTGATGCCAGCTACTCGGGGTGGAGGCGGGAGAACCCCATGTTCAAGGCCAGTCTGGGTAACTTAGTAAGACCTGGTATCACAAGTGGGGTGCTGGGGCTGTAGTTAAGTGATAGAGCACCCCAGGTTCAAATTGCCAGTACCCCTAAAACTATATAAGAAAGCTAAAATGTAAATAAACCGGCTGTCAGGAAATACCAATCATTTTTTTCTTTCATTTGCTCTTCCTGGTTTTTCTGCACTTAAGTCCCCCCTCCCATACTGGACCTGGCATTGAGCACTGAGCAATATCCTCAGCTATTTTTATTTTATTTACTTTTATTTTTAAATTGGTAAATGCTGAGGCTGGGCTCAAACTTGCGATCCTCCTGCCTCAGCCTCCTACACTGCTGGGATCACAGATGTGCAACACTATGCCCAGCTGCCCTGAGCTTCTATTAGCTGTACGGTTTGGATTCAGATTCAAGGCAATTCTGCCTCTGCCCTGCACTCTCTTGAGAGCAGCTGGGTGACAAGCATGGCCCAGCCAGGTTGCGTCCTCCAAGCCCTCAGGACGTCGGGGGGCACCAGAGCCTGTCACCTAGTCTGACTTCTCTGGTACTTAGCTGCAGCCCAGCTGTGGGCTCACCAAACCCAGGAACAGACAGGCAGAGTCACAAGCATCTCTCAGGACTCCAGAACCCAGGCCAGTGAGGCTCAGGAGCCCTGGCCAAACCCAGGGGCACTCCATTCCACTGTCATTCCCCTAAGTAGGACCTGCCTCCAAAGCACCCCCACACACAAAGTGCGAAGTGGCTGGCACAGAGTCCTGGGAAGTTATAGGCCAGCCTGGACCTCAGGGGAGGAACACACAAGCGTAGCACAGCACCATGTGCCATACATGGAGTCTGGGCAAGGGAGCAACTGCCCTAGGAGCTGCAGCAAACCTGAGGGAGGGGTGAGACCCAGGCTGGGGCACAGCCCTTCATTCCCGGTGCCCTCCTCACTAGCTGCTCTCCAGCATCAGAATCTGAATCAGGGACAGCAGTGTCCTGCCACCTGCCCCGGGCACTGTCTCTGTTGTGACTCCAGGCTTGAACTGGGAAGTGCACACCCCCAGGAGTTGGGTGGGGAGTTCTGGTCACAGGGTGGGTCACAGGTGACCCAGAACCTCCTGCAGCTTGCTTGGCCTGCCCCTTCCATGACTACTGGCTCTTCTCTCCCTTGGGTGACAGGGGTCACAGAATGGATGTGAAACCAAATGGGGGAGATTCTCCAGGGAAGTGGTCCAGTAGCCTGAGGGGTACCTGGGTACCTACCCCCTGCCATGGTCTGCTCCTGCAGCAGGCCCCTGTCTACCCACTTAAGAGCCCCGCCATCTAACACCTCCCAATCTCCTATCTCCAGAAAGAAAGAGGAAAGTGGAGGGAGTGTGTGTGGAGATGTGCAGGAGGATGGTGGGTCTGTCTGCGTCTATATCTGAGAGGGAGGCACCAGGCCAGGGCCATTGCTTCCACTGACCACCCATACCCAGCAGTCTGCCTTCAGGATGAAGCCCTGGGATGCAGGCTGCTCCTGAGTGCTGGGAGCCATCATTCCAGACCAACTGCCAGAGAAGTATGTGATGTGTGTGAAGGACGTCCAGGCTTCCATACTTCCTGTGCCCTGCCCCCCATCGCTGGCCACTACTCTAAGGCCAGCTGTCCATTGTGCTTTTCACACAGCTGATGCCTGGGCTCTCACATATTGTTCTTCTACCAAAATGTGTTTTCTCCAAACACCAATGACACTCCTTTGGGCAGAAAGGCCCACACAGAGTATAGTGTTGCAACACTGTCCAAGTGTATCTCAGAACCTGCTTCATAACAAACTTAACTGAAATGCTGGGCATGGTGGCACATGCCTGTAATCCCAGCATTTGGTTGGTAGGCTGAGGCAGGAAGATCCCTGCAAGGTGAAGGCTACCTGAACTACAGAAACAAAAACCAGGTGTGGTGGCACATGCCTGTAAATCCCAGCATTCAGGAGGCTCAGGCAAGATTGCTATGAGAGCCCAGCCTGGGCTACATAGTTCAAGGCCAGGCTGAACTCTGTAGCGAGAACCTCCTCCAAACAATACACACACACACAAATAAACAAGCTAACAAGGAAAAGCAGGGGCTGGTGAGATGGCTCAGTGGTCTAAAGCACCTACTTAGAATAAGCTTAGCAGAGCACAGGGACCGCAGTTCAATCCTCCAGCACCACATGCGGGCCAGCCCCGCCCCCTGGTGGGCTGAGCTGGCCACACACACACACACACACACACACACAAATAAAAAAAAAAGGAAAAGCACACTGTTGTTGCTCTTTGGGGGGCTGGGTCCCACAGCACTGAGGACTCTCATCAGGGTTGATAAAGTCAAATGCACTTCACACAGACCCAAGGTAAGAAATGAGTGCTCAGCTGACTAAAGCACCTGCTGAGGCAGACACAGTGGAAAGGGTTTGACCCCAGGCATGCTGTGCTGGCCGCACCCACGGAGCACACTGAGACAGTGATTGAGACTGGGTGTGGTAGCACAGTGCCTGTAATCCCAGTGCTTGGGAGGCTGAAAACAGGAGAATCACTATGATCTATATAGCGAAACCCTGTAGATAGACCCTGTACTAAATACATTAAAAAAAAAAAGAGCCAACATGTGCTGATCGGAAATAACCCTACTCAGTGCCACCCTCTGACTTTTGCTAAGAACTGGTTTCTACTATTAGGCTGACTCCTGAGAAAGTTGATAGATGTGCCCTTGTTATCTGTCCTTGAGGTCACTGGCTGGGGGCCTGATTGTCTTTTTTTTTTTTTTTTTTTGCGGAACCGGGGATTGAACTCAGATCCTTGCGTTTGCCAGTCAAGCGCTTATCCTACTGAGCCATCTCCCCGGCCCCCTGACTGTCTTTTGTTTTGTAGCGTTCGGGACTGAACAGCCCCTATGGCAGGCTCTACCACTGAGCCACACCCCCAGGCCCTTCAGCTGACCGTTACCAGAAAGGCAGCTATGGGCAAGTGGAGGGGTTGTCTCTTTTGTGGTCACCTCTGAGCACACGTTTTGGGGCTAGCCATGTTCTTGTGGTGACAGGTGTGTGTGCTCCTAAATGAATGGGGACTAGGAGGCAGAAATCACAACCCCGGGTGACGTTTATTGACCATGTGTAGCACACCAGCCTGGTGTTTGCCCAGTTTTTTCCACAGCCCGGGACCCCATTCAAAGATGAAAAGACTGACCCAGCAGGCAGCCGGCCCAGCACCGGGGCGAGTGGCCGCGGTACTACAATTTCACAGCGCAGTGGAAACAGGACTGCAGTGAGATGGCGCAAGGTCCAGTTCTGTCACCAGCCTGCTGGGTAGTGACCTCTCTGGGCTTCAGTACAGAGACCTGCGAAACAAGGGGTAGGCGAGTCACCCTTCGGCGTGGAATCGCCAGCCCTGTGCAGAGGAAGACCTGGCTCGCCGCACCCACAAGCTCCAAGGGGCACCTGTGCGCGCTCACCCGCCCGCGCCCTCCTGCCCGGGACCGCGGCCGCCCCTGCACTCCGGCTGCACTCACTCTCCGTCCCGCACTCTATGCATGCTCGCTGCACGCCCTGCGCGCACCGCATGCCGCCTCCTTCCACAGCACAGTGCTTCGGGGCCTCGATCTCGCCGCGCGTGCTCCTGCACACTCGCACGCAAAGGTTCGCACTCACGCCCGTTCACGGACGCCCACTCTTCCCCGCTGCCACCTTCACACTCGCGCACTCATTCACACCCCGCGCGCGGTCCCTCTGCTCCACACGCGCACCCACCCAGCGTCGCCTGAGCCTCTCGCTCATCAGAAGCCCCGCAGAGCCTCACCGCCCGGCGCGCCCACCTCAAGGCGAGGAGGCGGGGCAGAGCAGCCACCCACGGCTCACCTTCCTGTACCGAGGCCGCCGGATCCTCAAAGCGCGACCGGAAGACGCACCAGCGCCCCGGAAGTCCCACCCACCGGTGGGACCACGCCCACTTCCGCCCCGCGCTGGGCACACTGGGCGGGGGCGGGGCCCGCGGAGCGGAGGCTAGGACCTGTGGGCGGGGCTCCTGCGGGCCCGCCTCGTGCGGTTCAGGTCTCGCGGGGTCGGCTCCTGCTGGCGTCTTAGGCCCCTGTACAGCAGGGGCGTCCTCGCAGGCCTATGTGTGCGGAATCCGGGCTCTCCTTCCTCGCTACGATACTGCAGATTGAGGCAGTGGGAAGCAGGAGGCAGGCCGGACCCGGACCTCATCTCAGGGCCTCCGGAGCAGAAGGGCTGCTTCACTCGCGCCCGTGCTCGCGGCGCCCTGCCCGGCTCCAGCGGCCGGGCCCCACCGCATTCCCGTTCTGTTCCCCGCAGCTTCCTGCGGGAGCTTCAGGCCCCCGCCCGCCCCGTGCTCCAGGACGACTGTGGGGCCAGTTCCCCATTCCTGCCGCTTTGGAGCTTTGCCACGAGGGAGTTCTGGTGGTTCTTTCTAATCACGTTTCCTTGTTTCTCTTCCTCAAATTTCTGCCAGCTGTGCCCCAGTCTTTCCGGAGGGGCCGCACGTCTGCCTTCCCGGCACCCAGCTCGGCACCTCGCTCCCTGCAGATGGCCCCGACGATGACCCCCAGTCCGGCGGAGCTCTGGAGAGGGCCCCTGCGCCGTGCGGGGGTCCTGGGCCTCGCGCAGTCACTTAGATGGGAAAAGCGTTGTCTTCTGCAGAGTCCTCGCCAGGCCTGAGGTCGGTGAGCCCCTCTGGGCTGGCTGGAGCTTACAGTGTTGGCACCGAGGGGCCCCAGCGCCCTGGGCTGCAGGTGGCTTCCGTCAGCCACGCGAGGCGGGGACGGTGAGGACCTAAGCACCGAAGAAGCCCTGAGGGCCAGAGCCGCTGCCGTTTCTATGTTGAGTGAGCCCTGAACGCAGCAGGATTTCACGTTCAGGTTTCTGCTTGGGGTTTAGTTTATTACCTTGAAAATTTTTATTTTATTTATTTATTTATTTGGCAGAACCGGGGATTGAACTCAGGCCCTTGCGCTTGCCAGGGAAGTGCTTATTCCACTGAGCCATCTCCCTGGCCCCTACCTTGAAAATTTTAATCTATTTGTATTCTTAAGATTTCTTTCTTTTTTTTTTTTGACAATTCTTTTATTCAACTACCCATCGTTCCACTTTTTTTTCTTTTTTTTCCTATAATTTTATTGATAAATAGCAATGAGACAGTTTCAAATCAAATTGGTAGGACAGTTTCAGTAATTAACACATTGCATACATTCTTCCTAGTGGTTAATTGCTGTACAAGATGCGGACATGATATACTATTTACAGACACCATTAGAACAAAAATATGGACCGCTTCACGAATTTGCCTGTCATCCTTGCGCAGGGACCATGCTAATCTTTTCTGTATCATTCCAATTTTAGTATATGTGCTGCCGAAGTGAGCACTCTTAAGATTTCTGAGACTTTATCTTCAAATAGAAAGTAGAGCACAAAGGATACTTTCTGAACTTACAGGTTCAGTTTGGCTGGGCATGATGGCTGAGGCTGGAGGGTTGCAAGTTTGAGCACAGCCTGAGCTACATAGTAAGACCCTAGACGACCAGATAGAAATAAGGCTTTGAATTTATATGTTCAATAAGCTAGGGCCAGCCAAATAGCTCAGCGGATTAAAGCGCTGCAAGCAGGCTCAGGGGCCAGGGGTTCTATCCTGGGCCTGCTGTTCCAGCCCCACCCATGGGGCTTGCAAAACTGCAATTGAGACTGGGCATGGTGCCACACGCCTGTAATCCCAGCTCTTGGGAGGCTGTAAACAGGCAGGTCACTATGAGTCGGATCTAGTAGTGAGACCCCGATCACCCTATAGACCCTTCCCTAAAATTCAATAAGCTGATCTTAATGATCTGAATTTAATGTATGCCTGAGAATTACCATCTTGCCCAGGTACTATGCTGGGCTTCAGCACCGTCTCCAGCTTCTGCCACCCTGGCTAAGGCTCTGAGCTGGGCCCAGCCGGGGCTGCCCGGAGGCTTCCTGCTTTCCCCACTTGCTTGCAGTGGACACTGGAGGACAGGAAGGGCATGGACAGCCACTGTGCACAGAGGGGCTGCAGAGTCAATCATTTTTGTTGCTGACTGAAACCTTGCTTTTGCTTTAGGACAACCCACCCTGGTACACCTGGCTAGCATGGTGCCTGCCTTCTGGGGATGCCTCAAGGCTTCCCTGGATTCCTCTGGTACCCCTGCATGTGGCTGACACCTCAAGCAGGGCTTGTTTCTTCCCTGAACTGGCCAGTGCCCTGTGGGGCAAGGGTGGGACCCTGCCCTTGCAGATGGCCCTGGGCTGTTCCTTATTTGCCTAGTCAGCACAAGCAAGGCCCTTCCTGATAGTGACAGTGGCAGCCCCGTGACTTGCTCTATTCTAAGGCGAGGTCTTGGCCAGGGTCACCCAGAGAGCAGAACGCAGGCCATGACTGCTGACTGTGTCCTGTCTGTCCTGGCCTACAGACATTCTGCTTTAAAGACCGGAAGCCTGGGAAGGGGGACATACACCAGACCTCCTGCCCAGAACCCACCTTGTAGGCACACATCCTCCCTGGGTGCTGGGATAAGTGAATCCAAGGAAGCTGGAAGCAGGAAGCTTCATGTGCACAGGCAGGGATGCCTGGGATGGAGCTGCAAAGCCAGCACAGCAGATTGTTGCTTATGTTCCCCTTGAGGGCCCTGTTGGCTGAGTTGGCCTTGACCCTGGTGACATCTCCTTAGAGGACTCTAGTCACAGCCAGTGGGTGCTGAGCCCCAGGATCAGAAGTGACGTGTCCTTGCTCTTTGTGCATCAGCACTACGAGCAGGGCCCTGTGTTCTAAGGCCCCAGGCATGGGTTTCTTCCTTTCAATATTCTGCAACCAGTTCAAAAACCTGAACACCAAAAGGAATGGGCTGGGTGTTGGGCCTCCTGGGAATGCGACCTTATTATGTGGAAGCTGGGTCTTTACAGGTGTGCTCACAGGAAGGATCTTAGGTGGGATCATCCTGGATTAGGACAGATCCTAAATCCAGTGATCAAGGTCCCCAGAGAGGAATGAGGGACAGACGCAGGTAAAAAGGCCATGGAAGGAAGAGGCATAGGTAGGGCCACAGGGCTCCCACCAGGGCACCAAGGACACTGACAGCTGATTTGAGTCCTGGAGGGGAGCCCCTCTCAGCCTCCAGGAGGACCCTTTGATTTTATACTTCTGGACTCCAGAATGGGAGGAATAAATCCTGTTGTCTGTGGGAAAAATCATTTTGCTCTGTTGAACAGCACAGTGATATTTTATTAGTTCCTTTCCTGAAACTTTTCCTCAGGCCAATCTTTTTTTTTTTTTTCAATGTGTTCAGTTGTTATAGGGTCTCACTACACAGTTCAGACCTATAGTGATCCTCCTGTTTTCAGCCTCCCCAGCGTTGGGATTGCAGGTGTGCTCTGGGGGCAGTGTGTGAACCACAGTCCTTATGCTTGCCTGTGCTTGCCTAAGTGGGTGCTTTAGTCTGCTGAGCGATCTTGCTGGCCCCTCTCAGGCCAGTCTGAAAATGAGTGTGTCTCAGGCCAGCTCACCGTAGCAGTGCCCAAAAGGGAAGGAGCCAGGGCTGAATGCCAGGGCAGAATGGGTGGCAGCCTAGATGGAGTGCTTGCTACATCACCCCCAGGCCTGTGCGTGGCCAGGCTGGCCTAGAGTGTCCAGCGGCTTGGGAAGCCGCAGGTTGCTGCCATGAGAAAGAGATCACAGCTTCCTGGGGAGGCTGGGGGCTTTCAGAGCCCCTTCACCAGAGCTTGTCTGGCTGGTGTCACCTGCTCCACTGCTCTTTTTTTTTTTTTTTTCCAAAGTTTTATTGATAAACAGCAATGAGACAGTTTCAAATCAAATCGGAAGGACAGTTTCAACAAATAATACACTGCATATATTCTTCTTAGTGGTTAATTGCTGTACAAGATGCGGACTTGTGATCCTATTTACAAAC